GAAATGGTCTTTAACGTGTATAGCGACGGGCAGGGATGTCAATACCGAGCGCGACAGTAGCAAGGTACGAGTCGTTTCGGGGTCATCCTGAACATCGTACTCGACCTTGATGGCGACCTGCTATGATAAGCCGGTTCAGAATGCTCTTCATGATGAATGTGGGTCAACTCAACGTACCATTATTCTCGCTGATGGGGTACCGGTGTGCGGCACCTCAATTAGCACAGTGCAATCAGGATCAACATCCAAGAGTGTGAAGCCTTCGTCGATAGCCTCGATATTTGCTGGTGGGGAGCCTGCCACACGGATGCGTCAGGTTTCTGCCTCCACGTCATTGAAAGAAGTTTGCTCACCGGAGGCCAGGACAGCCTTCGCATGCTCGTGCTGCACATTCTGCGACGACAGCCGGACCATGGCGCGACTCAGATGGTTTCTGCCCGTTGACAACGCCACCAATATCGATCGACGCCCTAGCTGGACTAGTCACTCCCGTCAGCACAGGGCCATCTAAATCGACAGACGAAGGACTCACTCAAGTCCGGCTGCCGCACCCGCAAGTCTAGCGCGAGCAGGTCGTGCGGGATGTGCACCAGCGTCACGTCCCGCGCCGAGCGAAGCACTTTGACCGAGCTACTGCTCTTGCGGTGCGTGCGCTGTAGGACAAGTTTGGAAATGTAGGCCTCGCTGGTGTCGAGGGCGAAGGTGCCGTGGAGCGGAATCTGATGTATGCATCAAGACAACCTGTGTTAGGACCGGCACCAGGAAGAAGGTAGGCAAGTGACTTACAGGGGAGAAGGTCGTCAACTGGGTCTTCCCGGGAGCAAGCGAGTCTGTCTGCGCAGTGAAGGTCAGACGCTCGGAGTCGCGGCCGACGAGGTTGACTCTAATCTCAGTGACAGGGAGAGGCTGACAGAAAATGAGAGGACGACTTGTCAAAGAACGTTCATCGGTCTTACACAAGGCAAGTGATTCGTGACGATGATATTCAGGTTATTCCCGTCTTTGTTGCCACTCGGCACAGCCTCGTTCTCCGCCGTCAACGTCAATGCAGGATGGTCGGTATATTCAAGCTCTGCGAATGCATTAGTGATCGCATAGTTTAAGTAAACAACTGCGGCTGCACGAACGTTGATCCAACTCTACCGCAGCCTTCTGCAACGCCTCAATTAAACCCACCAGATACCTCTCGCTGTCCGCCTGGTCCATTAAAAGCTCCTTCCCCATCGTCGTGACATATGCATTCAAGAACGCCAGCAGCGTGTGTATCCAGTCCCGGTCATGCTGCTGGTCGAGCGCGGCGTGCGTGTCGAGTGCGCGTGAGAGCACAAAGAATTCCAGGGACGTCCAGTGGTGCGGGGAATAGTGCGCTGGGAGGGAGGTAAAGGTGGTAAGCGCGGTACTGAGGCGTTGGCGGTGTCTACATGGGGATGATCAGCTGGTACCTTTTAGAGGGATGCGAAAGACCCACACGTCAAGTGCGGCCAGGCTGCCGTGCAGCTTCAGAGCAAATTTACGCCTCCCGGCCTTCGCATACATGTCTATGGCGAGCTTCGTGGTGCTGACATATAGCTCGTGGAAGTGGTCCTTGTCGCTGATGGCGTATAATACATCTCGGTTGCTAATCTTCAGCGGGGACTCCGTCGTCGTACTAACCGGTCCTTGATACGCATTGCAGAACGGAGGCTTATTCGGTAAGTGGCCAGCATTGATGCCAATGTTGTCCAGCTTGGGTTTAAGCTCAGTCGACATGCCGGAAGCGAGGAGAAAAGATCATCACTTGTATGCGAGCCAATTCCAACAGTTCGCCCTTGCCTGCGTTCAGCGCTGCAACTTTCGGGCTCTCAACGCGGAATGCGGCCAGCCATGAGTCACACTGGGCGACGACGCTTAAGGCAGAGGAGTAGGTCCATGATTCGATGAAGTACTGAGGTAGAGTGTTCTACAAAAGCGGACTTAGCCGACTTGCAAGGGAGATATATGACAGCCTGCAGTACCTGAACCTCACGTAGCCGCCGCCCAAATGCACTGAGGAATGCGCTGGTCTTGTGACTGACTTCATTCAGGCGGCCAAGATTGGCAAGAAGCTCGCACTGACGAGCGAGCAAGTATATGCGGAAGTCGAAGACAGAGATGGTGTTGGCGAGGATGAGGTCCTTGTAGGGCTTCTTAGAAATGGAGAGGAGGGATGCGGAGTCGTCGTTGGGGGCGGGGCTGATGAGCGTGCCAAACCAGGAAAGGTTCTTGTCCTTGAGTACACCATAAAACAGGAGCTCAAGCTCGTCGTATTGAGCTAGAGCGTCTTCATATAAACCGATGCCTTCGAATGAGGTAGCGAGGGTTTCCTGCGCGCGCGGTGAGTATGATACACAGACGGCACTCATCAACGCACTTTCAGCACGAAAAACGTGCAAAAGTTCCATCCAGGCATAAGTCGCTGGCCCTCGGAGCGTTTGACCTCTTCCTCGCGCTGTTGCAGCACAAGATCGAACGCAGAAACGAGTCCCTCCTTGATCTTGTTCACCGCTTCGGCCCAAGTGGCGGGATTATCGGCAGACGTGGCGGACCAAGAGAGCTGCACACATCGGTCCCGCTTGTCCGTGTTGAAGTCAGCACGTATCTTGTCGTAGACGCTGCCCTTGATCGCGAAGAAGTTGCCGGTGACGGGCTTGGCTTCCGGTTTGACAACCTGGACGATGAGCCATTCCTGGTTCTTGCGGTTCACAATGGACGTGTGCCAGTCCTTGATCTGTTTCTTGACTGACGTTCGGTACAGCTCAAGATCGGCGTCCTGTGTGTTGCTTCAGCCGAGTTCGTCTCCCGATGGATGTTACGCACCTCGCATGCGATGAAGAACATATGCAGGAGGGGCCTGTCCAGTACAGTCACCGGCACCTGGGATGTGTTCTCGTCCCTGAGCGTTCCAAGGGGCATAAAGTTGACATAGAGCTCCTGGATGGTACGTATCGACGAGCGCGCGGCGGGCTTCCAGTGTATGTTGCGCAGGGGGAGCTGGGCTTCGAGGGACGCGGTTATCTGTTTCCATGTGCCAGACGCGAGTAGCAGTGGCGGCCCTGCAAACGAGACGCCGACTTTCTGCGACGGCGCACGGCTCGCCATGATCGTCGAGTTCAAGTCTTGACGCCACGATCCGCGCGCCTTGCCGCCGCCCGGTAGAGCGGCCCGGGGCGAGGCATCAGTCGATCGAGCGCCGCCCATCTTGCCCTTGTATTTTCTAGCCGCACCCCCCGAACTCGGAAACAATGGCAGGCCCCGAAGAAGCCACCACGTCTACCCCATCATCGTCCTTCAAGTCGCTGGGACTCATAGATCCGCTACTCCAGGCTCTTGAGCAAATGCAATTCAAGACGCCTACCGAAATTCAGACACAGGCACTCCCCCACGCTCTCGAGGGCCGCGACATTATCGGTGTCGCGTCGACTGGCTCTGGAAAGACGGCTGCATTCGCGCTTCCTATCCTGCAAAAGCTGTGGGATGACCCCAAAGGTCTTTTCGCATGTGTCCTTGCACCTACACGCGAACTCGCCTACCAGATATCACAACAATTCGAGGCTCTGGGCTCCACTATGGGCGTCCGCTGTGCCGTAATAGTCGGTGGGACAGACATCATGGCACAAAAGGTTGCTCTGGCGAAGCGACCGCACATCATTGTCGCTACTCCTGGCCGTCTAGACGATCACTTGGAAAAGACGAAGGGATTCAACTTGCGGGGGATCAAGTTCTTAGTGCGTATCTCCAGTCGCATGCGGGGTGCTGTACTTGACTTCCAGATCTATAGGTCCTTGACGAAGCAGACCGGCTCTTGGACATGGACTTTGGCCCTGTCATCGACAAAATATTGAAGGTCATCCCGAAGGAGCGGACGACATATCTGTTCTCTGCCACCATGACCACAAAGGTAGCAAAACTGCAGCGAGCAAGCTTGTCAAATCCGGTTCGAGTTGAAGTCAACACCAAGTGCGTATAATTGTAACTCGTCCGTCTTGCAGACAATTAAGCCTTGCTCAGATACCAGACCGTCGACACCTTGCTACAATACTATCTTCTCATGCCGCTAAAGGAAAAAGATACTATGCTCGTGTACCTCGCTAATACGTTGGCACAAAATTCAATTATGATCTTCACTAGAACGGTGAACGATGCTTCACGGTATGCACGGCTCACGTATGTCCAATGAATTTACTAACTATGTACTCAGACTATCCATCATTCTCCGGACATTGGGATTCCCCGCTGTCCCTCTGCACGGTCAACTCAGCCAAAGTCAACGTTTGGGCGCTCTCGCTAAGTTCAAGAGCGGTGGTCGCAAGGTCCTCGTCGCTACTGATGTTGCCAGTCGGTACGCTCAACCACCATGTCCACGACGTCCTTTCACACCTTCTCACTCTTTACACCTTTCCTCAGCGGCCTCGACATCCCCTCTGTCGACATCGTCATCAACTTCGACATCCCCACCCACTCAAAGGACTACATCCACCGCGTCGGTCGCACGGCGCGCGCCGGCCGCGCCGGCAAGTCCATCACCTTCGTCACGCAGTACGACGTCGAGTTCGTCATGCGCATCGAGAAGGTCATCGGGAAGAAGATGGAGCTGTGGCCGTCGGACGAGGAAGAAGTATCTCTACTACGCGAGCGCGTGCAGGAGGCGGCGCGGGTCGCGGCGGCTGAGATGCGGGATCAGGCCAGGGCGGGGCATGGGAAGAAGAGGAGGAGGGGTGGCGAGGAGGGCGGGAGGGATGATCGGGACCGGGACGACGATGTGGTCGAGGCGGGGATGCCCATGAAGCGGAAGAAGGGGTCACGGTGATGTTGTGCAGTTGTAAGTAGAATACGAAGTTCGTCAGAGACGTGAAAATAGTTGCTTCATGTACACTTGTGAAAATGTTGTGAAGGGCAATATTCCAGAAAATGCAGACGCTGTTGTCCTGCAAAACTTCTCCGTACGAAAGAGAGGCAAAAGGGAAGAAACAACGAAAGCGTAGCTGCCCCCGTGAGGTTCGAACTCACGATCTTGTGATTGCCAAGTGGAACTTAACAGTCACACGCCTTAACCAGCTGGGCCAGGGGGCACATGGTTGTCAGGCCTTTGCAGCCTATATGACTATTACACAAAGGCGCTCAGTAATAGACATCTGACGATCTCGTTACGAATCCAGCCCGGATCGGCTCGTTCACTCGAAGGACAGCGAAGTCTCCCAGACAGAACAAAAGCAAGAAATACAACACGTGAACCGGTCAATGTGCATGTGAAGGGTCACATGAACATCAGATCGGAGCGCAGCACATATTTTGTGCCCTTCAGCACGGGCGCGCCTTCATGCAGCAAGCAATCCGCCCCGTGTCTGAAGATTTGGGGTCCTGAGATCAGTAGCAGACTCCTCACAAAGGAACGCCATCTCACTTGTGAAGCAAGGCCATACCACGGCTCAAGGGCGGGACAAGCGCCTTGTTCGTCCGTCGCTTGCCCTCCCCTTCCTCCACTTGGAATATAGTCTGCGCTTTATTTAGCTGATTCGTCTTACAAGAGCGGGCATAAACTCACCTCCCCTCCCTGGACACCGTCCTCCGCGCCCGTCAGGTACACGAGCAATGTCCATTCCGACCTCGCTCCGGTGACGCTGTCCTTGACAGAGTCGTCGTAGTGCTGTCTGTTCGGTATCAACGCACGCCCCAAGGCATAATAGAGTCAACGTACCCAAAGTACTGCCCCTGCGTATACTTGTACATCCGTATATTTGAGTTCATGGAGTGAGGCAGGCGCGGTGGCCCCCGTGCAGGGTGTTCGAAGGGCGATAGATGCGGGCTGAGCACCTCATGCAGCCGCTGTGCATGTTCAGGCGACGTCGTAGATATTCGGTCTTCGAAGGAAGAGGAGAAGTTATCGCTAGACGCGTAGGATAGCGCGGCGAGACTGACGATTCATTCTCGACGCCTCGCCTCTTTTCTTTGGTGGCGTCAATTCGAGCGGCAAGTTGTCGATGAACTGAACGTAGGCTTTGCATTCTGCAGGTGATAAAAAGTCCTCGAGCACGAAATCAACATCTTCTAATGCCCCTTTGTGCCGCTCCACGCCGCTTACCTTCACCAGGATTATTTGATCCTCCAGATACGTCTCCGGTTCCAAATGCAGCTTTTTCGAGACTTCCGGGAACATCAGCGCAAGAGGTGGACGGGATATAGCACCTTGCGAAGAAGCGGAGTCCTTCTTCTGTGCCTTCTTGTTGCTAGACTTGCGTGGCGGCATCGTGGTTGAGGTTGAGTGAGCGTGGGAACCCAGTAATGGCCAACTCGTGACTTGGAATTAAAACATCGACTGTTCCCCTTTCGGCAGCCTTTGTTCTCTCTTGCAACTTCCCACCATCACGCCCGACGCTCAGACTTGGATTGTACGACAGGTGGATTTTCCTCCTTCGATGTCTTCACGCAAAGTACAGCCAACTACGGTCTCGGATCTTCCACAAACCTTCGAAGACGAGCATGTACACGGTGTCTATGACGAGATCGCGTCGCATTTTTCTTCGACGCGTTATAAGGTTTGGAACTGTAACATGTATTCTATCTCGCACCTTGACCGCAAATATAGCCCTGGCCAGTAATCGCTAGCTTCCTCTCTTCTTTGCCAGCTGGTGCTGTTGGCCTCGACTCCGGTACCGGGAACGGAAAGTACCTCCCCCTGCCCCTCGAGAGGCCCAGTGGATCCGTCTGGACGATAGGCCTCGACAGAAGTCGAAATCTTCTCGCCATCGCCCGAGGAGCGGGCGAAGGGCCGTTACGCGAGGTTGTATGGGGGGATGCGCTGCAGGATTGCTGGCGATCCTGTGCTTTTGTAAGTGCTATTCCTCCTGCTACAAGTAGACTGAGTCCATGGACCGCGAAGGACTACGCCATCTCGATTGCGACCATACATCACCTTGCAACAGAGGAGAGGCGGCGGCAGGCAGTTGAGGTTAGTATGTTCGCGTGTGTGGCATCTTCCTACTGACCGTCGTAGGCTCTCATTCGCGCCGTATCGTCAACGTCGGGACGAGTGCTCATCTATGTGTGGGCAGTGGAGCAGGACGAGCTTTCCAAGCGCGAAGTTCCCTCCGAAGGGAGAGTCGACGCAGGTGTCGACGTCTTCGTTCCGTGGGTGTTGCAGAACAAGAACAAGGGCAATGCGGCGGATACTGGCGCGGCGGAGTCCAAAGTATACAACCGATATTACCATATGTTTGCGCGGGGAGAGTTGAGGAGATTGGCGGAACAGGCGGCGGAGAGTTTGGGTCTTGACGTCGGGGTGACGGACGGCTCGCCCGCGGGCAGGAGGGGGTTGCAGATTGTGCAGGATGGGTGGGAGCGGTCGAATTATTACGTAGAATTGCAGCGCTGGTGCACCTAAAAAGGAACTGATGAAAGCATTCTTGAGCGCGCGCGAGGGATATGACACGAAAACTGGCTGGGATATGTTACAGTCGATGGTACATGGTGTATGTTTGAATGTGAGTCGTTGGCACCCTCGGTCCCATCATGCGGGGGTCTCTGACTGGTACCCGTAGATCGCCTCCCAGAACATGGGTCGGTGCATCTGCTCGATCATGTCGTTTGAGAGCTTCATGTCTGCCGGGCGATGAATATGGTGCACTGGATACAAGCATACCAGAACGCACCAATGTCGTCTCCTAGCTCGATGTAGCCCATCATCTTGACTTGAGCGCTTTCCTGAACAAGACCAACAATTTCCAGGTATGTTGACGTGGGTTTGGCGGTCTACACCGGCGCGTCAATGGTGGCCTTGAGATAGAATAGGATATCGTACAGATGGCATCGTGACTACGACTTCGCCGTCATCTGTTGTTTGGACCTTCATTTCATTTGGTCCAGAGAGCTGTGTGACGACAATGTCGAAGTGAGGCGACAGCGTAAGTAGCAAATTATCCGCACGTACGTTCTTCAGTTTGCAGATGAGTCGCACTTGCTTCCCTTGGAAGTTGGCAAGCCGTGCATAGTTGACGAAGGGGGCAATCTTGTCGTTTTGTTGAGACATGAAGACGATATGGAGTCAAGACGCGTGGAGGATACAAAAGCGAACGCCGTGTGCGAAGTGATGCACGACGCGTCGAATGAGAGGACGTGTTATTGTGCGCTGTTTGCCAGCGCGACCTGCCCCGTTTCCCACGAGTATTATGGAGCTCGGCCCGGAACCGTCTCGATCAGGCAATATCTCCGACTATTGTTCGCTCGTTGCAGCACACGCGACGTGCTGCGGGTCTTTGTTTGCGATGTGTTGGAGCTTGCTGTGACTCTTTGTCTGCTCCACCCACGACCTTTTTTCTCTCCCTTTTCTCTAACGTCCGCACGACACACGACAAGGTCTCTGGCAGACCGCCTCACGTTCTTTCTTCACGACGCCCGTACCACGACTCCCTCGCGCTGCTCTGGAGCAGCCGGCTACTTCTCGTTGACAGCGTCTCTTCCCCCTAATCACCAACTTTCGAACGTGCGATACTCTTACTCTTGCGCTATGGAGTCTATGCCTGTGTCCCCCACTTTCCTGAGGATCCGTGTCATTGCTTTCAGTGCGTGTGGCCACCAGCCACCTGGCAATGCGCCTGACTGATCATTCACTCCAGGTCTGATCGCTTTCTTGAGCTTTCTTTGGGCCATACTTTACACCCTGGACATGTACTGGCTATTCGACACAATGGGAGCTCCTGAAAGTGCGTAACCAGTTTTGATTGCCATCGCAGGAGCTGAACGTGCCCTAGGAATCCTCATATCCCTCATGCTCTTGAACAGTTCTGCAACCTGCATAATTCTGCTAGTGCTGTCAGCACAAGGCCTTGCGTGGCTGAACTCCTGCTGAAATCCACCTTCCAGGATCACTCGCGAATTCCGACCGTGGCTAGACGTCGCGCGTGTGCTGCTTCTCTTTGCCACCCATATTTGTACGCCACCCCCTACACGCGCCGATCATCAATGCTCACAAAAAGTAGGCTCGGCAGTGGGTTACACGATCTGGTTCCCGACCTACTCTTGCCCTGGCACCGGTGCGCTTCTCTCTGCAACCTCGCTTCTCAGATTGCTGACACGGACGTCAGAACCTGCAAGTATGTGTCGCATGTTCAATGTCTATATCCTCGCAATCAATTGGCTAGATATTGTTTTGCGTGCGTTTACTGCGTATCTCGAGCGTCCTCTAGCGCTGACTAGGACTGTTTCCGTCAGTTATCATCTACGCTTGGGGGTTGACTACCCTGATGGTCATACGGCGCCGTGCCGCAAAGCAAGCACATCTGGATATTCCCGAGGAGAAATTCGAGATCGACGCTCCGGACGCCGTCGAAATCGGGAGAGGCTCGCTGATACATACAATACGCGACAGTCCCGCTCGAACGTCGCAGACACCCAGTACCTCGAGCTCCTTCTATCCGGCCCCGCAAACGGCATCCCCTTATCAAAGCAGGCATAATTCGACGCAAAGCTCGCGCACCCAGACTTCCAGGACGCACTCCCGCACCCTCACCATGTCACCCATCGTCGAGGAGCCTCGCGTGCCAGAACCAGCCGTCGGCAAGCCGGACTTGAGCCCACGCTCGTCTGCGCGTCTATCTAAGGCTCGTCAGTCTTTCATGTAATGATACAAAGAGCTCGACTATGTAACATATCCGACCATCCGGTTCACTCGCAGTGCTGCGCACTGTCCAATTCCTTACTGTAGCATACGAGACCACTCATGATCATGGCATTTATTATTCTCTCTCTTTCGTCTGCGTTTCCTGGGCAGTCTCTGCAGCTTGCAGACTCAAGCGCTAGCCGCGGTGTGTGCTGCAGGCTGGGGGTCCGGGGCTCCGCCTTGTCCTGCGCGTTGCCCCGCGCGAACCGGCGCTAGCGACGCGCCGGGCGGTAACAAGCACGTGGGCGCGTGCATCACAGTGGCTGTGATCACCAAACGTCCACGGCCAACCGTCACCCGTCGTGCGTGATTGCACCCTCGCGCCAGCCCCGTACCGCGTCTTGCTCCCTCCCTCCATCTCCTCGCTGCCATCCTCAAGTGCCCCGCAGCATCTACATGTCCAGCGCGCGATGGGACC